GAAGCCCTCTAGCCAGCTAATCAAGTCAATCCAGCAAGCTTCAGGTTCTGTGAGAGATCTTATCACTAACAATAAGGTGGAAAGAGATGGAGAAAGATACCCATTATCACGCTCTACCCTTCACACCATGGGCTCCAGGTTAGTAAGCCCTGACCTAGTTGATCTCATCTCACTTTACCTAGAAATACTACACCCGAGCTGCCTCTGACTGGGACAAGGGTGGCATTACGTGTTCAGTTAGCTTTTTTATTCGTAAAAGTGCAAGTGAAGTCCCACAGATGTAGGGAGCTGAGCTAATCATGAGTTCGACCCACAAGCAGCAGAATTTGTGAGGAAATGGATGAACGGTTTCGGGACAGTTTAGAAGAAGAACTGAGACTGTCACTCTGTCTTGGACGCTAGATCATTCTTTGGATGTCGCATCTAGGCCTGAAACTAAAAACGCAATGCTACTTTGGACCTTCTGGAATCTCAGAACATGCTAAATAGTAATGCCACGGAGCAGAAATGCTATTCCTTGTCCTGGTGCCACACATGGGAAGGGAGGACAAAAGCTTGGGTTGTGCTATTTTTCTTGATTTACCTATTTTGAGCCTCAGGTGATGGGGCAACCCAGCTCACACTATGAATTAAAACCTTGCCTGTAAAGAGCTATAGGATACACCATGGTACATTCAGATCTGAGAAAGGAAAATTTTGGGGAGGAATACACAGAGAGCCTAGGGAATCAGAACAGGAAGGCAGCCCAGCCTCAAGAGCATCTGGAACCCAGGAAGCTGGGACACAAAGCCGCGACTCTTGCCTCCCCCTCTCGGAGAGGGTGCATGGTCCCCCCTCCCCACTTCCCTCTGCATAGCTGCTTTACCTCAGAGCAGCAGTGTCTGCGTCAGGAGGTACCTGGATGTCCTGCTCAGTCCAGTAACAGCCCTAAGATGCTCTGTCCAGACCCTAACAACACTCACCAAAGTCTCTAAGAATGATTCCAAATTCCCATAGGAGAAAGTGATTGCTACCACGAGGGTCATGTGTTGTCTGCTTTTGCTCTTTTAGGGGCTCCTGCTGTGGGATGGTCTGTATGTCAAACTGTTCTGATTGGTCAATAAATAAAACACTGATTGGCCAGTGGCCAGGCAGGAAGTATAGGCGGGACTAACAGAGAGAAGAATTGAGGGAACAGGAAGGTGGAGGGAGACAGTGCCAGCCGCTACCATGACAAACAGCATGTGAAGACGCCAGTAAGCCACGAGCCATGTGGCAAGGTATAGATTTATAGAAATGGATTAACTGAAGATGTAAGAACTGGATAGCTAGAAGCCTGAGCCATTAGGCCAAACAGTTTAAACAATATAAGTCTCTGTGTTTATTTGGTTGGGTCTGAGCAGCTGTGGGACTGGCAGGTGACAGAGATTTGTCCTGACTGTGGGCCAGGCAGGAAAACTCTAGCTACAGGGTCCACCATCCAGCTCCCAAATAAATCACACACAGAGGCTTATTCTTAATTATAAATGTTTGCCCTTAGCTTGGCTTAGTTTCTTGCCAGCTTTTCTTAACTTTTTATTATCCTGTCTACCTTTTGACTTTGGGCTTTTTTTCTCTCTCTCTTACCTCTGTAAATCTTACTCTTACTCTGTGGCTGGCTCCTTCTCTTACCTCCCAGATTTCTCCTATACATCCTCTCTGCCTGCCAACCCCACCTATCCTTTCTCCTGCCTTGCTATTGGCTGTTCATCAAGTGTTTTAGACAGGCACAGCAGCACAGCTTCACAGAGCTAAACAAATGCAACATAAACAAAAGTAACACACCTGAAAATAATATTCCACAACAGCTATGAACACAACCCCGTGAGTTACAAGAAGCTGGCACGCACAGAGATATGGAGCAAAATTTCCAAGAAGGGGCCTTACCCGGTTTCCCACTGGTCAGTCTCGGGTCAGAGTGAAAATCATAAGGAAGGAACACAGCTCTACTGAGGGGCACACCTGGAATCAAGACGAGCACATCACCACACGGGAGTCACAGAGGCCGGCTTGCATGGGCACCACGCTCGGGAGGGTAGTCTATGCCCCTGTAGAGCACTTAGCATGGGAGGGTAGTCTATGCCCCTCTGGAGCACTTAGCATGGGAGGGTAGTCTATGCCTTGGTCCTGCCTTCCCAGATGACTCCAGCCCTGAAGACCTGACGTTGCCACTACTGACTGGGAACACATGATGGCGGTGGCCATGAATAACTCAGTCTTTCATGATGAAAGCGACTGGGCCATGGAGCTGTCCGCAGTGCTCATCTCTATGGTTTTTAGACAGTTGGGGAAATGCGGCTTTGAGACGATAAAACTATTAATAAGCCCTGCCTTGGCTGCTAAAAATAGAAGCTGGCTTGAGCAAGTTAAGGAAAATTTCAAATTTAGAATACAGAGACGGTGGGCAGTGCCAACCTGGGGCACGTGAGCCTACGATGTGCAGGGAAGCCAGCGGAATATGAGCCTGGGAGCCAGTGACAGCCCCCCCCCCACACACACACCCATGCTCCTTTCGGGTTCATGCTGTTGTGAGTTCCAGCCTTGGCTTCCGTTCGCAGTGGATTGTGGTCAAATCAACCCCTTCCTACTGAAAGCCAACGAGAACAGGGCATGTATGTTGTACTCCTCTGTGTGTATTGTGTCTCTAAAATTGTGTCTGTATGCATTCTTGTATGTTAGTGTGTGTTTATGTGCTTGTGTTTGTACATTAGTGTGTGTGTGTGTGTTTGCACAAATGTGTTTGTGTATGTTTATAGTGTTTGTGTGCAGGCTCATGTTTGTGGTTGGAGTGTATGGTTTTGTGCCTGTTTATATGTGTGAGTGTTGTGTCTGCTTTATGCATGTCTGCTTGTGTGTGCTTGTATTTCTCCTTGTATGTGTAAATGTGTGCTTGTGCTTGTGTGTATTTGTGTGTGTGTCTGTACTTGTGTATGCTGGCATGTGTATGTGTGTGTTGATGTGGGTATGAAGGTTATTACTGAGGTTTGTATTTATATGTTTCTGATATCTATATATTTAAGTGTGTGCTTATTATATGTGTGTTAGTACATTTATGTGTTTGTGTGGGTTTTGTATATTTGTTAATGTGTTTATGTTTGTTTCTCTGTATTGTGTTTGTGTGTTTGAGTATTTCTGTGTGTATTCGTGTTGGTATTTGTGTGCGCTTGTCTTTTTGTGTATGTTTCTGTGTTTTGTGTTTATGTTTTTATATATTTGTGTGTGTGTGTACATGTTTGTGACTGTTTGTATTTCCGTGATCATTTGTGTATGTTACTATGTGTGTGCATGTTTGTTTGTATGTGGTATTCCACATCCTGCTCACAGATTGCAGTCCACATTGACTAATGGAAATTCAATCCATCTCAGCCCTTATGCGAAGACCAAAACAAAGCTTCCCTGGGTCTTTTGTTTTGATTTACAAGACGGGCTCTTTGCCATTGGCTGTTAGGAACAAAGTTTGAGCTCGGTGGGTTTTGTCTGGTTTTGGTTGGTTGGTCGATTGGTTCTTGTTTGGTTTTTGAGAACTAAAGGATGGTAAGGTTGAAAGACCTTGAAGGAAACAAGCATAGAGTTTATGACCTAAGGACACAAAGGAGGACATGACTGTGACTCTGACTGACTGCCGGGAAGAGAGGGGGCAAGTGGTGCCTAGACAAGGAGACAGCAGCCCTACAGAGAGCCTGGGGATCCAGAGGCCAGGACTAACGCTGGGAGCCCAGCCTGTCCTGCTGTTACATACAGGGAGCCCACACTTTGTGCCACAAGCCACAGTAGCTAGATTTTGTTGCTTGGCTACCTTGGAACACTTCTGTCAACATATCACTTTGGGGTGCGGATCACCACCTATGCCCTTGTGGACGATCAGCATTTCCAACAGGGTGAGATGTTGCTGATGCTGAGCCCAAAACACAGCTCTCACAATAGAGGAAACAACGATGGTTTGTTCTGGAGCCAAATATAAGTGACTGTGGATTCAGTACACAAATTCAGACCCGCCCGAACACTATGTTCCAATGATGTAGACATTTCGTGAAGCACTAAAAGTAACAACAAAGAAAGTCATAAATCAACACACTTTTCAAGGGCATTCGTAAGACTGAAATTAAAAACCAGATAAGTCCTTTCTCTCTAAAGTTTCTTGTTGCTACAGTATCTATCATAGCAATAGGCATGAAACCAGAACACCTAGGTTAGATGTCCACGGCAGCCCAACCAAATGGGGACAGTGAATGGAGAGGTTGACCTACTTTAGGGGCTAGGTGACTTAAAGAAGCTGTTTACACTAATACATCAGTTCACAGGGGACCTTGAATTATGTGCATATATATGTGTCTGTGTGTGGGAGTGTGTGCCTGTGTGGATTCCTGTAAAGGCTGGAGGTGTCCTATCCTACTGGAACTGGAGTTACAGGACGTTGTAAGCCACCCAATATGGGTGCTAGGAACTAAACTCATGTCCTCTGTAAGAGCAATCTGCACCCTTAACTGCTGAGCCATCTCTCCAGCCCTTCACACAGTTTTTAATTCACAGGAACAAATCAATATATGTCTTAGCTTTCAGACCTACAGAATTTAATTCTTTAGTAACTATTTTATAATCTTTGGTACCATGCTTATGGTGCCCCAGTTTCTTTATTTAAATTTTAAAGTTACTTCTAGAAGAAGCTGTAGTATTTCTCTTCACTCTAAGATTCCATGGTTTCTTTAGGTCACCCTATTTGCACATAGTGAAGGAGTTAAAAATACACTCTGGCATATTGACTATGTTGAATTAAAAGTACTTGAAAAGCAGCAGGTGTTAAAAGATCATTCTGACCTATTTTCTGTTTCTTAAATGCAGGAGAAGTTCTCATATAAAAAACACTCTTCTGCGCCCAGAGGAAAACCAACAGTCTTATCACCAAAGAGCAGAAGCCAAAGCAGAGAAGATGCTATGCAGACCTCAAAGACGCCTTGCAGAATTTATTGCTTCTTCAAAACATATTCTTGGTGAAATTCTGTCCATAGGTAGCTGTTGTTAATGGCTTCTTCATTTCTTTATGCCACGAGAGGCATCCATTCGATGAGTCTGTGTGCTTTCCTCCGGTTGATCTGTGTTATGTCAGCTCAGTTCTCAGGCCCAGATGCAAACAAACGTTCCAACAATTGGTATTTAAAAGATTAAAATCTTCCAAGGTAACCACCACTAGCTACATATTCAAACACCACCTCACCACTACACAGCACATCACCACACACCACACCACCCTCCCTCACTGTCCCTATACACATTCACACTTGAGAGGGTAATTGTTTCCACTTTTGAGGATTAACGTTTCTGTCCTAAAACTGTGGGGAAGAAGACATGTTATAGGATGAGTGATCTGAGGGAGAAGAAAGATGGAAGAGGTGGATTGAAGTCTCTGCTCCAAATCCCCTAGACAGGTGTGGGGCCCTCTGGGCAGCAGTGAGTATTGAGTACAGGGAGGGTTGGCTCAGGGATCCATATGCCTGGGAACATGGCCAGAATACCCCCAAGGATTGGCACCTGAGACAAACCCCTGAGGTCTCACAAGCTGTTGGACACAGTGAGCCTCCCCCACCCCACCCTACCCCACCCCACCCCACCCTTGTGGGGAGCAGGTGAATTGGGCTGGAGCTGGGTAAAGGAATTAGAAAGGCTAGGATGCAGCCAAGCAGTGCTGTGCTTTGGAGACCTTTGGAGCCAACTTGTCTGGGATGTCAAGGTTCTACTGTAACTCAAACGAGGTCTAAAGATCATTACATCTTTAAGGACCAAAAACTTTTCAGATACTGGGGGCTGAATTATGTCCTCCTCAAAACTCATAAAACAAATCCATGCTTCTAGTACCTCACAAGTTCCCCATTATCTACAGTTCTTATTAATCACTATTGTGCCTAACGTAAATTCTGTCATTGGTGTACGTCCCTGGGGTGGGGCTTAGCATATACATGTCGGATTTGGTATCGTCCTGATTTTGGCATCCACTGGGGGTCTTGGACTGTCCTCCCCATGGCAGCTTAAGTTTTAAGGAAGGTTTATTTTGCCTGATGGCTAAAGAGGGAATACAGTCTGTCATGGTGGAGACCCCAGTCCCATGTGATGGTATCACTCGTGTTCAGGGTGGGTCTTGTCTCTTCAGTGAATCCTGTTTTACCTTCATAGACACACCCAGATGTTTCTTTTCTGTAGTAATGAGCTGAATTCTCTATGGCTAGTATCAATATTCCCCCTGTTCCTAGTAAATTACAACTGTTAATCAATGATTCTTTAGTCCCTGATATCAGGAAACCACAAAGCATAGAAGTCAAGGAAGTCCCTTTGGGAACAGCTTCCTGGTAGATTAATGTGCTACAGCACCTGAAACAAGCAACTGTGGGCTAGCAGTTTCTCAAAGGACGAAGAGGAGGGCCTCTCTCCTCAGTCTGTAGACCAGCGCCTTCTCCCTCATCCTTCCCTCCAACTTCTCCGTATATATGTACAGCTCACCTCTTATATCAGGAACTAGTCATTCTGGATTAAGGTCTTCAGACATGGTGGTTCTTCCTGGTGCGTTCACTTCAAACTTGACTAGATTTGGAACTGCCTGGGAGACACCTTATAATTATCTGTTCATGTTTGTGTTTTCTGTTCATATGTCCTCTTGTCATGTTTTTGACTGACAAATAAAAATAGTTCAAAATAGGAGAGGATTTCAAATGAACTCAGTCTAAATAAATCACAAAAGGTTAAGATGACGGAGCTGCTGATTTGATCTCTACCCAAAGTAGACACGAATCAGTGTCCAAATCTTAAGCGAACAAAACTCCCATGAAGATGCAAAACAACACACACAGAAGAAATTTCTACATAAAAGGAAGAGAGTTTGCCCATTTTCTCCACTCTGGCTTTGGGATACCTTTTGAAAATAAGAAGGATTACATTTTTACACTGGCAAACAGTGATAATATATTTATAGGGAGATATATAGCTAACCACATATGGAATAATAGTTAATGAATATTGGTTGAAAGAATCATATATCTTCATTGAGTTCTGCCTAAGACCCTGTCTAGTTAGATGAGTTTCATAATTAGAAAATGGCTCATTCTTTCTCTTTCAAGGCTTAAATTACCCGGCCACAACAGTTTTATCTTATCAACTTCCATAAATGAGATGTCCCCACCAAAATATGCTCAGAGAAAATTTGAAAGGGGAAATGTTGGAAAAGCCAACATCCACTCCCATTTGAATTACTTTTCTCATTGTTTGACCACATATCTGCCAAGAAATAA